CAAAATGCTTCACGACGGACATCCAGGAATAACCGCAATGTAATCCATGGCGCGTTTACATGTATATTGGCAAAACATAGATGCAGATATCGAAAAATATGTCCAAGGGTGTCAAACATGTCAAAGTAGTAAACAAGATACTCAATACTTACCTCTCTATCCCTGGAATGCACCACCGGAACCCTGGTCTAGAATTCATCAAGATTTTGCAGGACCATTCGAAGGGAAAATGTGGATGCGTATTCAAAATGGATTGAAATTGAAGAAATGAACAATATTACAACAGCGTCAACCATCAAAGTGATGAAAAGTGTTTTTGCGCGATTTGGATTGCCGAAGATGTTAGTTACAGACAATGGGCCTCAGTTAGTGTCAAGTGACTTTGAAGAACCAGCTTTGACAAGCCGAAAGAGTAGTGAAAACCTTTAAAGACCGTTTAAACAGTAGTGACAAAACTTTAAATCTACATGATAGACTATGTAAATTTTTGATGTCTTACCGAAATACTCCACAACGAGGAACAGGAAGGACTCCCAGTGAATTAATGTTCGGTCGACCAGCAAAAATTATTTTTGACCAACTGAAACCAGATGTAGGTAGAAAACTTGATAATGAATCATTAAAACAAAAGATGTATTATGACAAACAACACGTCAGAGAAAAGTTTTTTAGTTAAACGCCCCCGTATGGATAAACAACCCATTAACCAAGAGATCAACGCCAATAGGTTATGGGCCCAGGACTACGCAAAGCGAAGTGAGAGGTGTTGTGGTTATTTTGTGAGCTCGACGAGTTGTGACGTGTAAAGTGCCGACGTCTGTGAACTGTGGTGACGTGTGGGAAGTGTTTGTCCCTTCCTGGATTGCAGTGTTTAGTATATTTGGTGTTGGTGAACCAAGACAGTGGTGCGTCGTGGTGTCTGGACGATTTGTTACGTGGCGGTTTTTTTTTCGTGAAGTTCGTGCGGCTTCTGCGGTTTGTGTAACCAGGAAACTACCATGGCGGATAACATGAATCTAGTCGGTATCACCAAATTTGACGGCAAAAATTACTATCAGTGGAAATTTCAAATAAAATGTGCGTTAAAGGCAAAAGGACTCTACGAAATTACAACAGGAACAACTGAAAAACCTACAACAGAAAAGGAACTGGCAGAATGGACAAAAAGGGACGCGCATGCAATGTGCATTATAACATCCGCGTTGGAATTTGCACAGATAACGTTGATTGAGAATTGCGAATCAGCAAAAGAAGTTTTTAGTAAACTAGACAACAATTATGCGCTAAAGTCCGAAATAAATAAGATGATTCTGCACGAAAGATTTCACCAATACAAAATGGAATCTAGTAACATACAACATATATGGGTAATTCTCACAAAACGTTAAATTTTATTGTCATTGATCAATATAAATTAAATAAAAGATATTATCATAAAAACAGAATTGTCACAATTTACTACACACCAATGACTATTAAGTCCATTTGATTTTTTATTTAATATTAAAATTTTAGAAAAGAAAAATGAAGTTTTACTTGTAAAATATCATTAGAGTGGATGTCCCTAACGTTACTTCATAATAAAACNTGCAAGGGAGGAATGTAGTATGGAACAATAGATGGCGTTACGGGTAAATAAAAATACTTGTATCGGCGGCCATGTCACTTTTTACTTTTTATCTAGTCGTTGTACCGTCCGCAGCTAGTTAACGTGAATTGTATCTAAAAGCACCGTTTTATTAGTAAATGATTATAGTTTATTGGAACTTTAATTTATTAACACCTTACACATCATACGACAGTTAGTATTTTTAAGGTTTTAAAAAATGTTCGGCAGGTTCCAATATAGTCAAGCCCAGACAAGATCCGTATCACTTTCTTTTGCATTTTAAATATGTCGTACATATCATTTGACTCTCCCCAAATAGATATGCCATACGTTGCCATGCTGTGAAAGTAAGCGAAGTAGACGCTTTTTGTTTCATTTGTCGGTAAATTTTTAGATATAGATAATATACAGTATATTGAATTTAATAATTTTCTTTTTAAGTTTGTTACATGGTTAAAATTTATCTTTTGAATTTCAGTGCCTTTGTCTCTTTTTGTAGAAAAACTTAGTATTTTGGTTTTATCTGCATTTAATTTCATTTTGTTCATGTCAAACCATTTTTTTGCATCGGCTAATGATGTTTACGTTTTATTTTTAAGTTGCTGAATATCATTTCCTTGGTTGATAACAGACGTGTCATCTGCATAGAGACAAATGGAAAGTGCCTTCACATTTTCTGGCAGATCGTTTATACAGGGTGTGTAAATTGTCTGGAATATAGCCAACTTCGCCATTTGTAGTTTTAAAGAAAAATGTTTCAAATAAAAAATTGTGGCGTATTTTTTTGCGATACTTGCTTTTTTACATTGTTCTTTGTTTCGTTACTATGGCAACCAACATTGTTATTTTAAAAGGGATGCATATGTTTTTATTGCACATTTTAATAGAGGATAAATCCCTTTACGCGATGAACATATCATATGGTTGTATTAGAAAAAAAGCGTTCTTCGAAAATATTACATCAGCAAATTACAATCAAGTAGGCGTCGAAATAACGCCGTTGACAGCTTTAAATGTAAAAAAATTGACAGTTTAAACAAATATGGTGCAATTAAACGAACGACAAAGTATCCAAATATTAATAATGTATGGGTATGGTGCACAATCCAATATATATATACATATTACACAATCCACAGTATCCAAAATATTACAAAAAAATTTTAACAGCGGAAGTTTTAAAAACCTTCCAAGAAGTTGATGGGATAGTTAGTATTTTTAAGGTTTTCAAAAATATATGCATCCCATTTAAAATAACAATGTTGGTTGCCATAGCAACGAAACAAAAAACAATACAAACAAGCAAATATCGTAAAAAAATGCGCCATGATTAATAAAGAAACTTATATTTGACACATTTCTCTTTAAAATCACAAATGGCGAAGTTATTGGCTATATTCCAGACATTTGACACACCCTGTATATATCAGAAAAAGGTATAGGCCCAAGCACAGAACCCTGAGGTACACCCGTCCCCACAGATTTCCATTTTGAGTATTCCTTTCGAACACACTTGTTGTTCTCTCTGATCCAGATAAGAGGCTAATAAATTATATGCAGTAGCTTTGAAGACATATTTATGTAATTTAGTCTATGGTGGGTTCCAGATCACAGAAACATAAACGCCCAAAGAGGCAGCGGAAACGCCCTTCATTGGACCCCAACCCGATTATGAACTATAAAAAAGCCACCTAAAACAAGTAATCAACAGTTGGGAGGCCTCAAAGGTAGCCTTACGCTGGGAAGAACTTCCAAGTCACAGACAAGCGAAGAGCATGATAACTCAAAGGGGATCCTAAGATATCAACTCTTCCACATTGAACAAGTTGAGGATCAACCATGGCTGAACATATACTATGTAATTGCGTTTCCAGAAGCCGCCTAAGACTCAAAATTTTCGGTAAAGCTCTTTTGACATCTACGGACATAAAGGAACAAGATCTTGGAGCAATACTAAGGTTCATTAAGGACCTACATTTGCCCTAAACTTTTGAAGGGCTAAGGTTACAATAGATTGTATAGGTCGCGGTGACGAGAGGGACCGCTCCCCTCAGCAATAATAATAATAAAACTATAATAACTATAACTAATACAGGGTGTATCTGAATGACTGCAACAAACTTCAAGGGGTGATTCTTTAGTGAATTTTAAGGGTACTTTGATATGAATGATGAACCATGGGCGACTTCGGCTACCCTAAGGAGCTACACCCCTCCAAAAATGGAGGAAAATTTTGTTTAACTCATAATAGGGCATGTTTTGACCCTATTTATACTTACATACATTAGAAAAATTTTACATAGGTAGATGAAAGTATCCTAAAACTTTTTTGTCTCTCTAAAATTTTTCCAAAAACGACTAATTTTTGAGAAAAAAAATAATAAAGCAAACACTGCCCGTTAAACAACGGGGTTGTCGATCAAAAGTAGAAATGAATTTTTAAAGAAAAAATCTTAGTACGCTTTGCAATCTTTGTCAGAAATATTTTTGACGTTTAAATGTTAGTATTTTTCTTACTATTATTATTGTTTTTCAAGTTAATTTTTAAATAAAGTTCTATCGCATTTACAAAACAATAATAATAGTAAGAAAATCACTCTTAAACGTCATTTATGACAAAGATTGCAAAGCCTATTATTAAAAATTTATTCCCACTTTCGATTAACAATCCTACAGTTTAACAGTTAGTTTATTTTTTTTTTCTCAGAAATTATTATATTTGAGAAGAACATCAGGGAGACAAAAAAGTTTTAGAATAGTTTTATCTAACTCACATTTGTCCAATGTATTTAACATCTTCATAAAAAAATCTAGGCATAAATTGAACGGGGGTGGTTACGTTTAGTAGTTTAAAAGGGTAGGTTGAAAGTACAAATAGGGTCAAAACGTGCCCTATTATGAGTTAAACATATTCCCCAAATTTCATTTTCCTAGCATTTATGGTTTTTAGGGTGTAGCTCCTTAGGGGAGCGGAAGTCGCCTATGGTTCATATATCAAAGTACCCTTAAAATTCACTAAAGAATCACCCCTTGAAGTTCGTCATTCAGATACACCCTGTATAATAAAACTCGAATGTTTCTAGTTCTATTGTTAGTTCAAACTTTTACGTTGTTTTTTATGGGATAAAAATGTGGATGATAAAACTGGGTAGCTTAACTAATATTGTTGGAATAAACAACATGAACCAGTTGCATAAAAAATAATTATAATTAATTTCTTTATTTTTATTGAAAAAAAAATCTGTATAAATCGCACCCACCATACCAAAGAATAAACACTTCAAAATCATTCTTCTTGAAACATCGTCACATTAATAAACATATACTGAACTAATTGAACACAGTGGTGCTGAGCAAAAAAAAATAATACAACCCAAAAAAACAAAATTAATTAAAAAGAATCGTTAAAATCGTCGTTTATAAATAAAAAAAAAATTACAATCCTAATTATTTGATTTAAACCTCTTTATAAGTATCATCCACATGTTTCTTGTACTGCGCCTGTTTTTTCCATAATTCTGCTGCGGTCGAATTAAGTGGACTACTAATGTTGGGTTCACCAAGAAGAGCTTGTATTGATAACAATATTGTCCGTACATCGTACAATGCCGACCATTTATCCTTGAGAATGTCCAAACAAATGTTACCGCTGTTGTCTACATTGGGATGAAAGCAAGGTGTGATAAATTTTACTAAAGGGGCTGAATAAGGATAGGCTTGTGGAAATTGTAAACTGAGTTTGTATTTTTGATTGTCATAAACCGTGTCTTTAGGGCCCATTATAGTTCCAATCCATTTAAATAAATTATCGCCTTCAGGAAAAGCTGAAACGCTTTTGTCTTGAGACATCATTAAAGTCATCAATTCTTTATGTAATCTAACAAAAAAAAATAAAATGAGAAAGAAGTAAAGTTTTATTTTTAAAAACTAAACACGTGTATATTTCGTGGAAACTTGTAAAATATGTGGTTTTTTATAACCGAATTTTAGATTTATAGGTTATGTTCAAAAAGAAATTTTACCTTTTCGTGACTGCGTGGTTATCTGTAGTAAATCTATTACTCTCGTCGCTTTGTTTAACACTGCTGGGTTGTTGTTCATAAGAAGGATTAACATTTTGGGCCATAATTTAAGTAATATTCACTAAAACACAATCCTGATCAAACGCCACTGTCCAAAACGACAGATAAAAATTTATTTTTCAAATTAACCAATCAAATCACAGACAGTTAGTTTCTAATTAATGGCGCTGATGGCTCAAATTTCAAATTTAAAAATTATTTTTAAACAATAAATTATTTCAAAACTATTTCTAAATAAAATTATTTTAAAACAGTTAAAAATAAACCAATTTATTTATTAATTTAATAAATTTATTCTCCACTTCCTAATAATTGACAG